TTGGTTCGAGACTTGTTGGAGTGTGAGTCAATTTGTTTGTAACCAGCTGTTTTGTTTTGTGGGCTGAATGCCATTTTAATGCAACTGTAACCCACCTCAATATCAGCATGTGTGAACCGCCTCCACAAAACAAACAAGTTCTGCTTCCAGCGAGAAAGTTGGTCTACCTAAAACCCAAATTTCAGAAAAAGACCATAAACTAATTCATAAGGAAGCTAGGTCTGACTAAAAGACTAGTTTCACCTGCAGAAGTAAACTTGTTTTAGTGCAGCCTCTGATATTCAAATGATGTGGTTCACGGCCTTGATTTAGACCTTTTGTTTTAACAGAAAAACAGTGAGTAAGAATTCTGTACAGAATTTTGCTTAGTTTCATCTTATAATGGAAATATGACAACAGAAACTGACTCATAACTTGAAATATTCTGTCTATCTTAGCTATAGATTATCTTTGATCAACGTTAGGGTCTTTCCCCACATTAAAGTAAATACTCCTGGTTTTTATGAAAATTCACACAGTTTTTGAGTTTTAGACATTCAACTTTATGTCAAGCTACTATGGGAAGTCAAAGAAAGCATAGCAATGCCTGCATGTCAAACGCTTGTCAGATTTTGTGTTGCGGTCGATTAAAGTGTCAAAATACATAAAGGTACACGTTCCTTTAGTGGAAATATTGAGTATTACCTTTTAAGGTAAACAAAACGTTCCCAATCTCTTGCCTCAGACACTCAGACCCAATTTCCGCTGCATCGCTTTATTTTTGTATGCAAATATTGCATAAGAATTTGGTGCTTTTGTGATGTTAGTCATCATAAATGGTCAAAGTAAAGGGGAAAAAAAGTTAAACAGAGAAAATTGCTCTTGTGTGTTTGATCTTGCAAAAAAACTGACTTTGATGAAAGCAAACTTGCAAAAACAAGAAAAAATATGATAACGCTCTATGTATGCAATGCCCTAGAGTATGACTAACTAACAGTTGACAGGAAATACTTTAGTTATATTGCAGTCAGTCATGATGCTCTAAAATTATTTTAGTAAAAAAAAATTATTATGCATGTAGCCTTTATGATGTATCGCCTATATATATATATATATGTGTGTGTGTGTGTGTGTGTGTGTGTTTGTAAAACAGGTTCTAAAGGATCATCTTTCCAAACGTCTTGTAATATAATATCTAGTGTCACCGAATGTGAAACATTGCCAGTATTTTCTTTGTCTTTTTCAATTAGCCACAGATAACACTGATCTGTATCACCTCTGATCACATCCACACCAAAGTCAACATGAAACAAACAACATTCACAAGCCTTTCTGTCACGTGACATGTTTTCAAGTGAATATTCACAGTGAAGAGAAAAAATAAATGTATCTATCAGGAATTGATTGGATGGAGAAAAAAGTCGTTATGTGTTAAAACCAGCCGCTGACATCAACCGAAAGGGAAAAGGAGCATTTATTAAACATATAAATAGGGTTGACTTAAATTTCATGTTGATTTGAACCTTTTTTCAGGCCCACACAGAATCTGCAGAGAAAGTTCTGCAGATTTCCACAGAATTGTAACACCAGTCATTCAGAATTCTACATATCCACCGCCTTTTGATGTTTTTTTAAAGGGGTCATATGATGCGATTTCAATTTTTCCTTTCTCTTTGGAGTGTTACAAGCTCTTGGTGCATAAAAAAGATCTGTAAAGTGGCATAAACTAAAGTTTCAAATCCAAAGAGATATTCTTTATAAAAGTTAAGACTTGTCCATGCCCTCCTAAAACGCCTCGTTTTAACACACCCCCACATGTCTGCGTCACTGTGTGGGAAGATTTGCATAACACCGCCCAAATATTCACGCAAAGAAAGAAGGCGTAACTTTTATTCTCACTGTAGTATTGTTGCTGCCGCCATGTTGTGGAGACGCTGTGTGTTTCGTTGTGAAAACAAAACTACTTTGTTTGGCCTTCCAAAAGAGGACGATATCTGCTTCGTCATGCCTAGAGCTGATCTGTGCTGGTCGCTGAGGAAATACATCAACTTTGCGCTGTGGATCGCCGGATCGGCTTTCACTGTGGACGAAGCAGAGTCCAGCCCGATGCCTCGTTTGTAATGGGTTTTATTGGTTTTGTCTCGTCGCTCATGGAAACATGACATGAAACCATAGACTGTATGATGGAAACACAGTATGGTGAGGGGCGTAACATTTCCGTCTCACGCTTGAGGAATTCGGCCAATCACAACACACTGGATAGCTGGCCAATCAGAGCACACCTCGCTTTTCAGGCCGATGAGCTTTGTAAAAATCGACGCGTTTCAGAAAGGCGGGGCATAGAGGAGAAACAATAATGTACATTATGTGGAAAATGTAACCTTAAACTGCATAAACACATTGCATTACACCAAATATACAAAATAATGTTCTTTTTAGTAACATCATATGACCCCTTTAATGAAATATTTCAGCTAATTTGATTGTTTACAGCTGCCAAAAACATGTTGCACTCACTTTAGCATGTTTAACCCTATAAAGCCTACTATATCATATTTAATATGCAAATAAAGCCTCTAAATGATCAACAACACGATCAAAACTTTGCTGAGAGTTTGCTGTTGCATAAAATCTACTACATTCCTTCTGTAAAGGGACTTTTAGTATAATTGTACAAATTTCTTTTTGCTGTGAAATCTTTAGTGATTTTTATCAAGTAAACATAAGAATAACGTTGATATTGTTGTTAGTAATATTTCGAGATGAACATTTACTGGACTGGACATTTACTGGACTGAATCAACTTAGCTTACTTGATTATCCAGACATCTTTTTTTTTTAGAAAAATCAGTGAGCATCAAATATGATCATCAGGCTTTTGAGGAACGTTTATTTGTTCATCTCTCAATCATCATTGTATTGCATTGCATTATAAGTTTTGATGATCAAACTAAGCATTTAAATATCATCTTACTAAGTCGTATTATTGGAGATATAGAGTGACCACTGATATTTAAATAATTGAAATTTAAATCTCAGCTATACTGTTATAAAGATCTCATTGATTTACATTACAATCAGAATTTCATACTTTTTGTCAATATACTGTAATGCACTAAATTGAATTATTATTTTTTTGGGCTTGAGTTTGAGTCTCTTTAAAAAATTGAGCTGTTTTTTTTTTCCATATTATATCATACTATATGAGCCATAAAAGCTTGATGTATCAAATATGATATTCAACAAAAAACACATAGTCAAACTTGTTATATATTTTGTTAAAGGTTCAATAAACTGTTCAGTCTAAAAAAAAAACTATAAAAATTTTTTTATTATTACTATTATATAATATATCAGGCTTAAATTCATTCACTGTTTCTGCATATTCCATCTGGCCCCAATCACTCATCCTCACACACTTTCTTTTTTCTGGATGGATTTTCATCATCAGCCACAGAAAACACATGATCTGTGAACTCATTAATTGGAAGATGACATGTTTTATTGATGTCATGATATCGATTTCACCTCTAGACCCCCCCACCCACACTCACGCATAAACCCACGCACACATTGTGCTTTCCAGGTTGAGGTAGATCATTAAGATCTAGACATGACTGGCAGAGGAAAGAATCATGCAATTTTCACCTTGTGCACAAATTGTCTTCCATGATCTCCGTGAAGGGAGGAATCCCCAGCATGAACCTGTCCTGTCTGGGGGTCAACTAGGGCCTTCCCCCTCTGGGTATGACAGCCGCCAACATCTGCCCACCACTTCCTGTTTAGTGCGGCCTACGATTGGCCGGCGGTGGGGCTCAATCACATGCCCATTGTGATCTCATTTCCTGTTCTGTCGTGCTGTTGTGATACTGTGGAGCTGAAGCCACAACATGTGTTTTTTAATATCATTGAGATGCTATTATAGTTTCTATTAAAATTACGAATCAGTTTTTAATTTAATGTTTTAATTTAAAAAAAAAATTTATTTTGTTGTGTTTTTGTCATTTGTATTAATTTTTCTAGTAGTTTTTTATTAATATATTGAATAGGTTTTTATTTGTATTATTTAAAATTTTTCTAAATTTTAGTTTTAGTCATTATGTTATCATTTTTAGTAGTTTTTTTTAAGCGTCTATATATTTTTTATTTCAGTTTTACTTAGTTATTTTAGTACATTTTTAGTACATACATTTAGTACTAAATGAAAAGAGAAATTATGCTTTAGCAACTACCTGAAACAAAAAATGTATTTGTTCCAAAGGTATTTATTTCAGTTTTGGTTTTATTTAAGTTCAATTAAATCAAAATGAAAAACAATGTTGTCTTGGCAACGAACTAAAGTTAAAGTTTTTATATTTTATTTCAATGTTATTTTTTGATGGTTTTAGTTTTTTCTATTATAACCCTGGGCACAAGCAGGTTTAACATCCAAACACAGGTGCGCTTGTACTTACTGAAGGCCATATATCTGATGTCATTTAATGCACTGCAGGTTTTGGGTGCAATTCATTCATTTCCAGGTCGAGCTATTCTTATCTCACAAAAAGAAAAGTACATTAAACGTCCTGTTTTTGTCGATAATCAATATGGTTTGTGTGGGAAGCCACAAAGAAAAAAGCACCTTTTCATATCCACTTGCGCTTGATGATGCTGCACCTAAGTCACACACACACATGTTTCTGGTGCTGATTCAGAATGAGAAGAGGAACTGACAGCGTTTTGTAGTTTCCTGTCAAGTGTGCAGAAAGTCTGGGTCAGGTTCACATACACACACACTGCATACACCCCCGCGCACGCGCCTCTCGATTACATCTTCGTCAACTGACAGTTACGAATGGCCAGTGGAAAAGAAAAACGAATTAGTCATTGTAAAAATTGAGTTTTCCAATCTCCACAAAGAAGCGGTTTTCCAGCGTCCTCAAGGATTCGTATATAAGGTGATTGTGTACCTGTCGACAGTATGACGGACATCAATCCAAGTAGCTTTAGAGAAGGACCAGAAGAAACTTTGCAGCTTCAACATGAAGGCATCTGTGTGTTTTGTGTTTGCAGTGGTTTGTTGGTTCGCAGCGCAGGCAGAGTCGTCGCCAAAGATCCTCACGCTCAGTAAAGTTATGAATGAACTCAACAAGATCAACCAGGGAATGGTAAGCTGACTTCTAAAATCTATGGATGGCACATTATTTTTACAAATTTTAAGTGAAATTGACCAGTTTTTAATCTGATTTTTCTTTTGTTTTTAAAAAATAAAGAACAAAAGCAGAACTTTGAACTCACCCACCATCAATGATTTAGAGGTAAGAAACGATTTTTCTTATTTTCTTCTCCATTACATTCGGTATTCTAACTGGATGCCCTCGGCGGTCTAATATGACCACATAATTAGGCTTGTTTCACAGCGGTTTTTGCATGACACGGCCTTCCGTAATATAAACACGTTTCTGTCATTATACAGCCCACCTTATACAGAACAAGTTTCAGTTCAACACAACTGATTTTCAAACAAACGTGATTTGCAAAAAAACGTGGGTTGATTCCATACAAATTATCTACGTTTCACTGAATCCATCAATCAGTACAGAAATAGCGTACATTTTTAGTCATGCTTTTCTTGGCAAACACCCTCTCGTTTTGTAATTGCTCCCTTTTTTAGATTAAAAGTCATTTTGTGCAAGTCGGTCAGGAGAAAGTACGCTTCATTTAGGAGAAATATGATGAGTAAAATGACAACAGCCGATCGGGGAGTGAGAGTAGAGCTGCTAAAACAGATTTGGCCTTTTTCACAGTTGGAATCTTTTCTTCATATTATTATTATTATATCTGCATTTGTTGCATAATGGCTTAGTGACAGAAAAAGGCCGTTTCTGTGCACACTCTCGTCTCAAGTTCGGAAAACATTTTGGGTTTTTCTGCGGGGAAAGAGAGTTTCCTCATAGTTTCTGTGAAAACTGCTTGAGCAGAAGGGAAATTTAGAGTCAAGATGTATAGATTTCTGCATACAATACAGACAGGAAGAGACAGAGCTCGTGGCTGGGGAAGCAAGAGGCTTTCATGCAGGGTTTGCACACACACACAAAAACAATCCAATCTGACTACAAAACTCGTTTAGATATTATGGCTATCAGGGAACCTTCTCAAAATGTTGTTCTGTCAAAGTTATGACCAAGCGTTCTTCCAGTGACGTTAACAGAATGCTTGGTCAAAGTTGGTTTCAGGACGTTCGTAGAACATAAAAAAGCAAAAACTATAAAATGGAAAGATGAAAAATGTTTTTAAAAAACTGGAATGTTCAGAGAACATTCAGAAATACTGTTTTCTTAACATCAGCAAAACATTTTTAGAACATATTTTTATTCGCTGGGTTTATGTTAAATTGTTGGTTTTCTTTCTTTACACAGGACTGCTGCGTTAAATCTGCTCTGGACTGTTTTCGGGCCAAAGTGTTTCACCTGTCAGTCACTGATGCCAAACTAAAGCGCTCACAGAAGATCATCTCACATGAGCTTCGCAAATCAGTCATTGTGAGTGTGTGTTTATGATGTTTCTGGACATAGTGGATTGCATGTCAATGCATTATAAATACACATACACCTCAGAAATGAGAAATGCTCACTTATTTATTTATTTTAACAGCTGGACAGTGTGTCCAATTGCAAACCTGAAGAGATACAGGTGAGAAACATAAAGTAACAAAAATAAATGCTGGAAATGTATTTTGTATAAGTTGTAATTATTTAATGTTATTACCTGTTTAATAAATTAGAATTAGAACTGTTTATTAAATTAACAGTTCTGACCTGTGCAATGTTCTGTTTCAGAAAGCTCAGTGCAAATCATGTGACTCGTACAAGAAGGTTGACAGCCAAACATTTGTGCAGAACTTTCAAACTCTTATGCAGAAGGTTAGTTCAAAACGATCCCTCAATTTCCCTCAATTTCTTTGCATTCATATATATATATATATATATATATATATATATATAGTTTTTGTTTACATAATAGTATGCTGTTTATATTTATATAGGGCTGTCAAATCAATTAATCGCATCCAAAATAAAAGTTTGTGTTTATGTACTTTGTATATTTATATGTATATACTTATATTTATAGATAATATAAATCATATATAATTATTAAATACATGTAAATATTTCTTAAATATATACATGTGTTTATATATACATACATACACAGTAGCCTACACACACACACACATATATTATGTAAACAAACTTTTATTGTAGATGCGATTAATCGATTTGACAATAAATATTCATTCATCCATTAGATTTTGGGGTGAAACTGAAAGACGTGTACAAGTGGTGCTTTTCTTTACCTCTTCATTGTAATGGGGGAAAAAAGATCCCTCTGAAAGTATAAATAGAGTAGAGATAACAAGCCCTGTGTTAACGACCTACTTTTCTCTTTCTAGATCTATGCCAGTGAAGCGTAGAGATGAAAGAGTGAAGAGACTGTGTATATGACACTACCTGACCAACCCACAGCAGAGAAGAGGCTCACACGCTCCGCTGCTCCTGCTGTTCTATTTATTGATTATTTATTGAACGTTTTCTTGTATATTTTAACTAGAGGATCTGTTAAAGGATTGTTCATGACTGACATGTTTTCAGGAACAGGGCAACAACTTCTTTAAGAAATGAGATATCCGTTATTAATTATTAACATGTATTCGTTTTGTTATACCGCCACCTTGTGGTGAGATCCCAGCACTGCCGCCTTCATAACAGCCCCGTTCCTGGAAAGAAGGGTGGTTTCCCTGATGAAGATTAAGCCTTATACAACAACACAAGGGCTTTCGAGTAGATTTTTCACTTTAAGTATGCTAGGAATTTTATTCTTAATCTCTGTCAGGAAAACCACTCATTTAGACGATGTTATTGTTTTTATAAATACTGCATATTCGAACTTCATTCTGATTTGACATGCTGCTTTTGCAGTATCTTTAAAAAAGCAGATACACACTTATTATATGTCTCACAATGAGATGCATATCTATATATATATATATTGGATGATATTTATTTGACATTAAAATATTTCTTTATGTTTACATCATGGCTGTGATGGTTATTTGAGGTGGACATTGAATTCTCTGTGTATTTCGAATGTGATGTGACAGAAACATCATGAATGGTGCAAGGTGTTTTTTCTCACCTGTTAAAGCTAAACCTGATGACCTGGATCAGTTCCAGCAAACAGTTCTTGTTGTTTTTGTGTGGACATACACCACCAGTTAAAGTTTGCAAACAAGCATTATCAAAACAGAAGTCTTTATCAAAACGTTTCTGAGATCATAAGAGCCGTTGATAGTCTTTCACATTTAGTTTGATTCCTTCAGTACAAACTGCCCTGGTCAAGGAAGTTTTAAACATCACAGAATTATTTTTACTTTCACATTGTTTCTTTAATTTCAGGATATATAAATACAACTTTCGAACAAAGTTTTGTTTGTGTAGCAGGTGTATCAAGAAAATGCAAAGTACACGATTTTATATATAGGAAAACATTCATTTGTTTGTTTGTTTGTTTGTTTATTTAACTGTAAAATAAAATAACCATATTTAATTGTATTTAGATCAAATTAACTGGAAAGTAAAGTAAAGTAACATTTGAATTTAAAACATTTCTGTACTCCTCAGAAAAGTATTAGTAATTATTAATCATTATATTATTGTGGTTTAAACAATTATTAATATTTTAGACTTGAGCCATTGCCTTAAGCATCTAATTAGTTTTAAATACATATTGCATAAGGAACATTTCAACTCTGATTTAAAAAAAAAGTGTCAAAACAACAATAATAAATAGAAAAAAAACTCCAATAGAAGGTCCTGTGTCACTTTAATTTCTGGAAAAAAAACAAAAAAAACATCAACAATTAAAATGTAAACAGTTTGGTACTCTTACAAAAGGTAATTATTAATTATTATATTAATGTTTAATTATTCTTTAATAATAATCATTCATATTTTAGGTCTGAGCCATTGCCTTATAAGAACATCTAATTAGTTTAAATACATATGGCATAAGGAACATTTCAACTGTGATTTCAAACACACACACACACACACACACACACACACACACACACACACACACACGTTTACTTAGCTATCTACATGGAGACATTACATAGACTTCTATTGTTTTTATATACAGATAGTTATATACTATTTAACCTAAACCCACCCCTACCCCTCACAGAAAACTCTCTGCATTTTTACAATTTCAAAAAACTTTGTTTACCTTATTTTTATACCAGTTTTACAAATGAGGATGTCCCCAAATTGAGTTTTTGGCGATTTTGTCAGGTTTTGCTCACTTTTGGGTACAAATCTGTCCCTAAAATATGGTCTTTGCATATACTAGCGTGATTTTACTTTTCCTTCCATATAATGTTATACCTGTTACAATCTGCCAAGTGACATTTAGTGAAATGCACATGGACTTTTCACTTTTAAGTCAACTGATATCAATTTATACTGTATTCTAAGTACATTTCTGTCAATCCTTTCTTTAAAAAACACGTAATGAGGTTACAGCATGTTGAACTCTTGTTCGTCACTAGTTTATACTAGTTTAGTATAAATATATTTCTTTACATACTACATCCCTACATTGAACTTTAACTCGTTTAGCCTGCTTTAACGTATGAAAATTATTTACTTACATAATGACAATTTAACCACAAAGAACAACTTTGGAACCCACAGGCTCATAGTTCTCTGCTATTTTTAGCTTTTACATTAAGATGGAAAAATAATAAGATCCGAGGTTTCAGTTTTTTTACTTATTGTTTTTATAAATACTGCATATTCGAACTTCATTCTTATTTGACATACTGCTTTTGCGTAGGCTACTACACCGTAAAAATGCAAATGCATATGCTGACAGTTTATGTGAAAGAGCGCATGGCAGACGTGAGAAGATGCCACCTGGTGCTTGGACAAGGTATTGCCATTTTGACCGCTGTGATTGTACATTGACTCATGATGATGACATTTGTCAAATTGTGAGCAAAAGCTAAAAAAAATATGTTAGAACACGAAGGGGAACGATAGTAAACTCTGACATTTCTAAACATTTATGCACCTGAACTACAAAACTGCCCAGTGGGAATATAACCAGCCTATTTAGAAAATGCCAAAACTTAAATCACAGCAGCTGTTAAAACCGAGGAAAGAAATTAGTGCTGGGCGGTATGACCAAAAATTTATATCATGGTACTTTTCAAAATTATTCCGGTTTCACGGTACATGACGGTATTTTTTTTTCATGCATGACCGGGTGTTAAACATATTTTCTACTGATTGAGAGAGGAAATACTGCAGTATATTGACTTAGAATGGCCTATTTTACTGTCATGATGAGTGAATACTGTCAAAAAATACCACACTAAATAGTGACTAAACATGACCCCTTTTAATACATGTTAACCAGGAGTCACTCTCATTTATAATCGCGGCATCGTCTGATAAAATCAACATGCATCTACACTAAAGATCACTATGCGGTTGTTTTGGCTATATTACTTTTTTGTCTCATGCAGCGCACTACAGCTTCAGTTTCGGAACTTTCACGCTTAGTAACTCATTCAGCTGTTCCCTCACTACAGTGCAACAGTGAAAAGGGACTTCTTTCAGACAGTGTGGCGTTCCGAACGTTGTTTAAGCGACATACACCGGTATTGCGGTATTTTAAAAATTCATATCATAACAAAAATAAACACCGGTATTCGGTATGAACCGGTATACCACCCAGCACTAGACAGGGCTGCCAAAAGTTTCTATTTACAATGTGTTTTTGTAACGTTGAGCAATGTAGCCAAACACAGACAGATCTGTTGATACTTGAACACCTTTGATTGGCCATTCCGTTCAAATAAATGCCGGATTTTGTTCCGCACGCTCACGAAATGCGAATCCTCTCACTGTAACACGATGTAAATAAGAGGTTCCCTTTCATCATCTCGTGTTCGAGATCCACCTACGGTAAGGACATCTGTACCTGACCTCTGCAGAAGCATCCAATTGCACCAAGTCTGGCTTGCCAGACAGGAGCATGTGCCCAATGGCAAGTAAGGGACTGCCCCTTCACCGAGCGCATAAAGTCCCTGCACGCGCAACCTTTCCTCAGTTGACATTCGCTTTTTGCGATCTCTGTGCTTATACACAGCTCGGTTGGATTTACACTGTTCACTTGCGTGTCTTCAGGAGGACATATCGACAGATCAGCCTCCACCAGACGTGACAGTTGTTATTCAGCCAGTAGGTCAGTTGTGTTGCATCCTGAACCGCCCACGCTCTCTCGTCTTTAGGCTGCTCGCCTATTGTCATTTTCTCGCTGCTCCCCTTTCCACGGTGGCCCGCCACGGATTTTTCTCAGTTTTTTGCCAGTATGTCGCTCTTGAAATCGGCTGCTTATCCTGGGGATAGTTTATCACGTGTGGTGCACTTATCGCCTCTAAGGAGTGCCACCAACCAGGAGGATGACGGGAAGCTGCTGGGACCCCCTTCCAGCCCGAGGAAACAACTCTTCCCCGTCCTCCCAGCGTGCGCAAAGCAGATGAGGCATTACTGGAGCAATCCACTTAACCTCAAACACGGTCTTGTGGGCCTCGAGGTTAAGGATATGGCAGTGCTCGGCTTGGATGAACCCCCCGTTATTGAGCCTTCGATTGCCAGGCATCTTGGCCCTGTCCAGGGCAGGGCTGCTTGCCCCTCCAAAGCCGGTATTGCCGAACAAAATGGATAATTTTACTTCCTCAGTTCACCAGGCCGCATATAAATCCTCGGCCTTGTCTGTCAGGGCGCTTAACGTTTCCTCTCTACTCTCGCGTACTAGGCGGAGCTTTTGGACGACTTAGGTCAACAACTCGACAAGGGACCGCCTTCGCCTAGTCTGTGGAAAGAGATTCTCATGGTTAATGACCTCATACTCTGGAAGGCTCGTCAGGCCATCCAAGCCTGCGGGCATTCTATGGCGCTTTCTGTGGTGAAAGAGCGCCTTTGCCTTAATCTGTTGGGGCTCTCTGACAGTGAAAAGAGGAGCATTGCGGGCGCCCCCATGGAGCCTGGCCAAGCTCTCTTTGGCCCCGCTGTCACGTTGATGCAGCAACGATGTGACGACAAATAGAAGGAGGACGAGGCTTTCAAATTGTGCCTATCCAGGAAGGCAGCTCCACGCCAGGTGCCTCCTGTGCATTTGCCTAACCCCCCTGCCACGGGATGACATTTCCAGCAGGGTAAGGATAGGCCCCGCAGCAGACCACCTCCACGGCAGAGTAATCCACCCTCTGCAAAGCCCTGGGGTAAATCGGTTCCCTCCGCGGCCGGGAAACCATCGAAAGTTATGAATTGCCTCTCGCAGTTCAGGGAAGGAGCGAGGGTACAGTATCGCACGTCTCTCAGATTACAGGGTTTAATGGCTTCGGCTGTTCATGTCCTGCCTCTGGGCCTTCTGAGAATGAGGGCGTTCATG